AATCGGGTGATTTGGTGCAAGTCTCATTTGTCTTTCATTTTAATATATTTAATTCATCACTTGCTAAGTAAGTGTTGGCTCAGTGTTCAAGTTCTGCATTATATAATATAATTGGTTAAGGAATGAATTAGTCTTAAATTACATGTAAATTAATTTAAAATACAATTAAAATTTAAATAATCTTTCTTTTTTTAATTATGGAGTAATTGTGTTAAAGTGAAAGACTCACCTTAAAAAACAAAAAATGATATATATGATTAAAATATGGTATAAATTATATTACTTATTGTTAATTAATTTTGACTGAAAATATTTTATTGTGTTAATATCCACATATTTTCTAGGAAAATGACACAGGCAGCGAAATTTGGGCTAAAGCAAAATTCAAGCTTGCCTAAACACGTCATTCATGAAACAATTAAACAATTTAAGCTTGTTTGCTACTTTTTCTAGACGCAAGTGACTAGAGTTTAGAACTTCTTCCGAGTTTAAGGAATCCTATTGAATACGTAGATGAAATAGGCAGCTGCACAAGATGAAGAAGTTTCTTCTATCTTATTCCACATTAATGAAACCTTTTCAAGATCTTCTGTCCATTTTCCCTTCTTGAGTAGCTTTGTTAATGTCTTGCCAACTTCTACCATGAACCGAGGACTTGTTCTTGCAATTTGCAATGCTATGTCCCTAACAAAATCATGCATCCTCACACAATCCTTCCTAACTGTATCTTTATTGGATTCTAAAAAACAATTTTCTTCAACTTTCCTCAATATATCAAAGCCTTCATTGTTCATTACTAATACAGTCTCCATTTCATCTATTAGCCCCTCATCAATCCAAAAATCAATTATTTTATTAATTTCTAACTAAATTTTAAATTCATGCGTTAAACGTGAATTATTCGTGCATTACACATGCATTTCAATCTTTTTTAGATTTATGGCTTTAGTCTTCATTTAATGTAGTTATTGCACTTTATTATATATAAATTTATTTAATTTTCAAGACTATGTAGATTTCATATGTGGCTTTACTTAATGCTCGGTCTCAAACAAGTGAGATACCCACATATTGTTATCGACCATCCCAATGATGACATCTTTACAAGAGCTGGACACTGGACAAGAATCGGAGTTGTAATTCAAGCTAAGAAACTTGGATGAATGAGTGATAGCAAGCTTAACTAGTGAGTCCTTGATGGAAGAAACATACCCTGGAATGTTTTTCAAGGCCTTAAGCACATTTGAAGAAAGAATTGCACAAAAGCCTTGAATAACATTAGTATAACTCTATATCAACTTAGAGAAGGCAATTGGCGATAAAGAATTTGGGGTGGCTAGGTACCAAATATATTGACTGGAAAAGGTTTGACATGGTTGATATGTCCATGTGGACAGTGTAATTATCAGATTCTATTATAGACATAAGGAGGGACATTGAGAAAAAGGCAAAGCACGCACAAAAAAATAGGTCTTGTGAAGCTATGGAGATGAGGATATAGTTGAAGGGTATATGACCATTACCTTTGAACACTGCTTGTTCTTCCTTAGACAGTGCTCTCTATTTTTGAATGGGTGAGATTGAGATAGTTGTTTGTTTTCTTCTATTAATTTTTGAGAAGTTATTTTCCACTTCCAAAACACGTTGATCTTTAAGGTTCGAATGTGGGTATTTAGGTCATCGAGTCAAAAAACCAGAGAGTGATGTCATGATTTTATCACACTTTTTTCCCTTCTTTAACAAGGTGGGTGTTCTAATTGCAACTCCATTTATTTGAAGAATAGGCCTTTAGCTCCCTTTGCATTAGGATAGTCCCACTCCAACGATTCCCACCATTCTTAAGGAATTGCACTGATTTCTTTGAAGAAAAGAGGGTGAGATGATTAGGCTGAATGATTAGGCTGAATGATTCAACCACTTTATCGGTTTTAAACTTTGACCCGAATTGTTTAGTGTACCAGGTATCGGTCCAACCGATTCAATCGGTCAATCCAATCTAGTTTTTAAAACATTGCTCACTGCATCACATTATTTACATAAAGAACAATTAATTCATTAAATCAAAGAACAAGACAGGAAAAGAATATTGTTATAAGCAGGTTCAAAATATGAGGATATAAATCAATAAGGATGAAACATTACCTAGTTTAAACTGCTTGTGCTTTCTTTAAATGACTTGGAATGTTGAGAGAAAAGATGTGCATGAGGAAAGGCTTCTTCACAGACATTGCATATGTACTTTTAGCTGTTTAAAATATTTTTTTATATACAGACTAAATTAAAAGGTAGGAAAAAAAAGATAATAAATAAAAAGTTAAAAAGTAGAAAAGTATACTGGAACCTAAGTAAGAGATTGTATTATATACTAAAGTTCAATAATTTGTGAAGAATCTTGCAAGCTATCAAAAAAATGGAGCTTTTTGAGAGAGGAAAAATGAATATGAAGAAAATAATCAAAATATCTAGAAATCAAAGAATTGCACTTGCTAGCATGAAACACGTGCTCTTCAATTTGAGGATTTCGAAAAGAAAAACAATG